ATACAATAACTTTTCGAGATAATAAAGACAACACGGAACTTGGTAACCAGCTTCGTCGTGTAAGGGCAACAACTGTTATCGATGCGTCTGATAGTTTTGGTTAAATTTAAAACAAGGCAGTTGCTAACAATTGTAGCAATGCTCTGGCGTTTGTTTTCTGTTTTTAAATGCTGTAAGTTTCTTATTTTAACCTCTATGCGTTGTTTCTAGTTGCATCAAAATGATGGTGACAACTCACATGGCTAACATGACTACGCATACGTGCAGTAATACTGAATGTTATCTTTTTAAATTGGTTATTGTAAACAATGACAAACATCAAAACATACAACATTATAAATTAAATACATAGTTTTTTTATTCAATTCCGCGAATTACAATTCATCACTTGGCATGGACGCGTATATGTACCAGCCATCTGTACATATGTTTGTGTAAATGCTATTGACAACGCTACTTTGAGTCATTCGACATGTTCCATGTAGGGTTCATTGATATTTCACATTTCTTTATCGACATGTAGATAGTGTGTTGTGCTAATTGCAGTAGGAAATCGTTAAGTCTAAGAATATGTTATTGTAAAAAAAGAGTTTAATGTCATATCTTTTTGGTTTTATGAACTGATTTTAATTTCATAGAGTGCAGAAAATATATACATAACTATCTACTTCATTGATTCACAGATTGACCTACAGTGCTGCACAATTATTCAATTGTCAATCAAAACTGAAATGTAATATCAAAAGGTAAGCATTACGTGATGATCTGATTATTTTATCAAATAGTTCATACATATATATAGCTGAATATCCGAGGTGTGTTGTATATATTGGAGTTCATTATTTTTGTCATATTATTTTTTTCTAAGACATTTGAATAAGTTACTATTTGAATGCATGTACATTCATTTGTAAAGTTGGGTAATCATTCTGATAGTATATTATGCGTATAAGCATTTAGATTCGGAAAATGCACCTAACTACATTAAAATATAAACTAAAAGAATATGAACTTCATACATATTGAAAAAATTATGTTAGTAATGTTCTGTTCAATGCAATAAATATTTTGAATACATCTGTGCATTTAATTGTATATACCTTGTTTTAAATGCCTGTGACTATATTTTAGGACGATTCACTATACCGTATAAATTATTGATAATGTTTGCTGATATCAATCTATCGAAATATTGTCAGAATTTTGCCAAACTTTACATGGTAAGGTGATATCATTATATCAATTATAATTAAAGAAACCAGCCCAGATTCATTCGTATTTTACAAATCTTGTAATGGGTACATGTAGATTGTATCACTAAATCAATCATTATTATTTGAGAAAAAAAAAATCCGCGGGAAATAGACGTAATTGAGTTATTTCATATTTTTGGAAGTATCTTTATGTATAAGCTCGTTTGCCTGAAGTTTTACTTTCCCCAAACACGTGTTAAATCATATACATTCCCAGAAAACACCCATCTGATTTTTTATGATTCATTAATACATTTTTTGAAAGTAAACACAAAAATCCATATTATCGTATGAATGCAACACATTTTAAAAATAAAAAACAAAATTTGATTTTGTATGTTATTCTTTTTTTGCGAAATGGTACATGAAGCAAACATGTACACTACAAATTCTTTTTAGTCTTACTGAAATGCGTGTAGTTCTATAAAATGTTATAAGCATAAATAAATCCGATTGCCACACATATCATGTATACTTTGCATAAGACTTTTATCCAAAATCATGTGAATATTTGTTGTTCAATTTATCTCACGTCTTAGAGAATTAACGTTAGTACTTTTAAACAATTTGTGTACAATCTAAATAAACTAGTTACGCTTATCTAATACTACGGAAATGACAATAACATTGAATTTCAATTATGTTTTATCTTTTATTCAAGGTCAGACTGACTTATTAAAATGCTGCAAAACGTAGTTGATAAATCCATTGAATTATACGGGAGACATTTCAAAGAATTGAAATTGACTCTATCAATTTGAAAAAAAGCAAATATAAAATTAGAAAAAAACATAAGACGTTTTAAAACATATGTAATTCAAATCAAGAGATAAATGAAGATGCATGAATTATACAACCATAAAGAGTGCGGATAATATACCCTATATACTTACGCGGACAGGGATTATAATATCATGCATATTGCGCCAAGAGATATAATATGTTTCCCACCATGACAATTTCTGGATTCTTTACGGGATTTGTATATATCGACAAACTACTGTCACCTCAAACTATCATTCCATTGCTAGAACATCTACCGATGAACAGTTCTTTCCTCGGAGATTAACCGATAGAACGTTCTTTTCTCGAGGATTTACCGATGGACAATTCCTTCCTCGAAGTATTAACCAGGTCAGTTATATGCATTTCAAATATAAAAAAAGAACCGACAAACTAGATGAAATGGAGTGAATGGATTTTTGTCAAGGACACAACAATTCCGAAAGAGCAAGCAGGATGACCCTAGGATTGTTTTAAAAATAATTCATGAAAACAAACTTGTTGAGTTATCGAATTTATCTTTATACTCCAAAAAAATCAAACAAGTTCATGTATAGTTATTCAAGTGCTGTATAACTTTCGGATAAATTAGAGCCATACATTTTCTAGTCATGTAACATGTACATACTTTTGAATGTATTTAGCTTGAATACTAATGTTTTAAAAAGCGAATGGAACAGCTGTCCGATAGTAATGAAAATGTTTGAAAAAAATGTGTAGAGGAGAAAAAAATGGCTTAACGAATACCATGGTCTATTTTAGTTTTCTTTAGAAAACGATATTGTTGATAACATTGCAATCCATATATACACTAAAAAGTAAAATTACAAAAATACTAAACTCCGAGGAAAACTCAAAACGGAAAGTCTTTAATCAAATGGCAAAATCAAAAGGTCAAACACATCAAACGAATGGATAACAACTGTCATATTCCTGACTTGGGACAGGCATTTTCTTATGTAGAAAATAGTGGCTTAAACCTGGTTTTAAAGTTAGCTTAACCTCTCACTTGTATAACATATTATATATAATTCTTATTGGTATATTCTTGAAGCTATGTTGAAACGCCATTTGAAGATGAACTTCATTTTCTTTTAAAATGTCCTTTTCTGAAAGATATCAGATCACAATAGTTATCAAAGGTACCAGGCTTATAATTTAATATGCCAGACGTGCGTTTCGTCTACATAAGACTTATCAGTGACGCTCACATCAAAATAGTTAGAAAGCCAAACAAGTACAAAGTTGAAGAGCATTGATGACCCAAAATTGTAAAAAGTTATGCCAAATCCGGCTAAGGTATTATCGGTCTTCAAATTATGAATTGAAACAAAAAAAGTATCCTTATGAGATGACATTTTTGGGATTCTTTCATCTGCAGATTTGTTTGCTATGTCAAACGTATCGTATTTATTTCACTCACTTTTTTTTAGAACCAAAGAAAGTCCTAGAAATATCAATGAAGTTTGATAACTTGAAAAATAAAAAGTTGATCAAGAGTTGTCTCTCATAGTACTAAGTGTACACATTGTATCAGAAACCCGTTTTCTCCAGGTCGCAGTTGCTTCCAAATGATTTAATATTTTGTCAATGACTTTATTTATAATTTTGTTAATTTGTTTAAAGGTACTTTATTCACTTATATCATTCCAATGAAACACTGTGCTTTATTTTGTAATTCATTTTATTGTATAGCTCAAACTTTGGGCACCATGATTTGTTAATAAAATATCTTGTAATTATATTTTTATCTTGTACGGTTTACTTATCTTCATGATTATAAAACGTATAACTGCATTCCTTTTATTAAGTTGTACTGCTCATTGGTTATCTTTTAACAGTGGAAATTTCGAAATGGTTCACAGACATGTTTGCAGCAAGTCAATTCTAGATAAACAAAAATACTGTCAAAGATAAATGCATCTAGAGAATACCAAGAATCAAACATCAGTAAATTATAATAAAATACACTTCTCATAGTCAATTTTACTTTTTTCGGACACAACACTTGAGTGTGTTATTGAATCACAAATATCGCAGGGGTCCTCGTCAGTCACGTCTAAAATGTTTTTTTCTCTGAAAGAATCATTCTTTATATTTTGCACTTTATAGAAAAAGAATGCATATTGTCCGGTATTATGGAAGATTAAACATATAAAAATATACTAAATGGCCGTTGTTTGCCTTTAAGTGTTTGCAGAACCACTAATTCGGGCCCGGTCAGAAAGAAAATACAAGAAATCAGTACATATTTTAAGCATAATAGTTCCTACGCATCACTCTAGATTTGTCAACAGGTGAATTATTTGGGCAGTCTTGGTATCAAATGAAAGCTTGTGGACCTTGGGTCGCTGGAAAGCACTTGTTAAAATGTTCTTTTGAATAATAATAAAAAGTATATAAAATTACAATAGGAGGGCACATTTACCATACTTACCCTGTTGTTCATACTATCAAACTTCCGGAAAACAGTACGCTCTAATATGCAATTAAAGGTATTTTGATTTTTTTAGCACAAGTCAGGATAAGGTATAGTTTTTACATGAAATGACTGCCACTTTATTTGAACTCTAGACAAAGTAACCATACATTTTCAGAATTCAACAAAGAAAGCAATTTGGCTATGAATTAGTGATTGTTTACGTAAAGGATATAAGCCGATTACTGGTCCATTCTGTATAAATAATGTAAAGAAATGTATAGGTCTGACGCCGCAGGTGAGGATGGACCTACCGTGCGTGTGGCTGTTCTGTTTTATACCTTGTTATATAAAGCTAAATAGTCCACGTAAAACTATAGATTGCATGAATTATTTCTTATATAACCGTTAAACAATGTGTGTTTAATTCTTTTAATTCTCAACCCTAACATTTGTCATATTTAATTCTAATTTACATTTATTTCTCATAAGCTACATTCAAATCCACAGTTGACATTTCGTAACTAATGAGCCGCAATGTTGACATGCTGAAATCAGAATTTGTTTTCGACAAATAGAGAATAAAGCAACACCTACCTCAAAACTGCTTTTAAATGCAATATTATCCGAATTTTGAGTGTTCACGTACCAATAAAAATATTCAGCTTTAACGTGTTGTTTAAAAATGAACTTAAGGTAGCACAATACAAAGATGTTTTTCCCCCATCAGACAACTTTAAACTGATGTAATTTCTTTCATCCAGCTTTAAATTTTATAAATGAGGTACCAAAAGAAAGAAGAAAGATTAATCTTTCAAATGGTGAAAACGTCAATTTGACATAAGTATTACATAATTAATTATTATGTAATTAGTTGCTATATTGAGATATCCACACTTGAATGAAAATAACTTCTTTGTTATTCATAGCATCCCAACATATTTTATAGATTCTTGTATAACACAGTTTGACCTCCAAAAGCGTGTCTCAGATTTTTCCTATTGTATTTCATTCTCTCATAAACCTTCAATGAAGTTTGCAACCTAAATTAATAAGAGATCACTAAATTTAATTGGGTATAAAATTTGTCCTATTGATGTTTTTGGAAATCTGAGACATCCTTTTGAAGATAACTGGTCAAGGAACAACATGTGTGAAAATATAGACATACAGGGGCACCCATCTAGGAGCTAAATTCATTTAAAACTACATTTTCATGACAAAAATGAATGTGTCACAATTGAATAAATAAGGATTTTCCTACTTGTACCCATTAACTTCAATATAATTCACACATGTTCCATTGGGATATTTCAGGATTGGCCTTCAGTCATAAATCAATTAGGTTTTGACCAGTAAGAAAGCATTCAATTTCAGCAATTCTAAATATATAGAGAAAATGCACACCCTATGCATCAAAAACCAGATCTGGCGGGAGATGTTATATCATTATTGACCTTGTTGTAAGTCAGTTGCTACTGATATGGTCAAAACTCCGCCCACCATGATAAACTTTTACTACTAATGATCTCAAAAGTTTAATTACACATTGCATTTACTTTTTTTTTAATATGGATTTTATTCATTTAGTACATAACATAATATATTTTGTTTTTTATTGTTACAAAAAGTAAGTTATGCATGTGTACACAAAATGATCAGTTGGTCAGTTTAGGGGATCCTTATGGGGGAGTTTTAGAATTGTAATTGTATACAAGGACAATATGGTGTTTTACACAAAGTAGATTTTGTTCAATTTTTGCAGTTTGAAAATGAAATATTTAATTTGTATTTTCTATTAAAAAGAATTCACATCTAAACATTCTCCCCCAAGAAATTCCAGTACATTATTTGTTATACAATTACATTTGTTTAATTTCTGTACATTTATATTTTGATTCCCTCTATATCTCCAAATTGTTACTTTGTTTTTTTTTTCTCCTGGCAGCTCCATTAATGAAATGTATTTTCATTTGGAATTCATTATCTTCATTTTTCCATTAATCCCTAATCCACCTCTTTTTTCGTAACTGTTTTGTGTATTGCTGGTCAGTGGTCATAAAGCTATAAAATGATTCTATTGATTAACCACAAAGTACTGCCCACATGTTCTTATCTTGTATCAGTTAGACACGTGAATTTGTTTATAAAACTAATTATCATCAAAACTCATTAACAGTTAAAGATATGTAAATGAATTTTTTTTCTGTGGTTTTGGAATATTAAGAAGTAACAGAAACAGCTGAAAAAGAAATTTTGATAAAATTTAGTTGCTTTTATATTGCGCTACCTTAATGCGTCAAGAGCACTTAAAGAAAATCGTGGAATTTTATTTCAAATTGATTTTGTACATTTTCTCAAGCTATATTGCATGAACTATCTTGTTTTGCATCACATAGGTATACATGTTCTGCAAAGCTATTTTTACAACTGCGAAATCGGCATACCTTTTGCAAGTATGATGCAATACATGTGGATTTACCTTGGAGGTATATTGTGACAGTCATTCCTACGTACATCTATGAGTCTGCGCTTAGTATAGATAAATTTAGAATTTTTCAATATTTTCACAGTGTTGTACCAAAGAGAAAAAGCATGTATTATTATAATTCACATTAACTATCTGTTTTTTTTCTACACACGAAAGGTCCCAATAACGAACAGGAGAAATTCGTGATACTGTTTTTCTACGATTCGGTAGGGTTTTCAGTCAAACGATGATTTCTTGATAGGAATTTTGTATTAAATAATGTTTCTGTGTACCGTTCCTCATGACGTGCTGTTTTGCCTATTGTAGTTATTTGTAAATTGTATTTCCTATTTTAAATCAAAGAGTTGGATTTCCTAAAACATGGCAATAATCTGGTGTATGAGTGCTTGTCTACCTTACAGGAGAAAGTCACGTGTGTTGTCTCTATATTCAATATTGCCATGTCGAAGTATACTTTTCTATTTTTGAATGAAAATTCTACGTATAGGTTTTTTTTACGAAATAAAGTTGAAACGAACATAAACATCAGCATACAAAAGTATATATTGTAGCGAAATTTATGTTTTGGGGTAAAACTATAGCTGATTTAAAAAAGAAATAAAGACTCGATTTATAGGGTTTGTAAAATATAATAATTTTGAAGACCTTTTGAAAATATATAAAACCGAATCCAAAGAACAAATCGCTATGTCCAACAAAAGCATATATAATGAACACCGGAACGATGTTGTTTGATAGATTTATACTAATTTTCGATTTTCAAATTCAAAGGGCAAAAACATAACCTTTCCAGTTTTTCGTTTTATAGACAGGTGTTACCATTATAAGTAGGCGTATTGTTAAGAACTGCTATGTTTTGTAAGTTTATGAATCGTCAATCAGCATGTCACTACTGATGAATGGGAAGTTGACAATTGGGGCAGAAAGAGTTTTCAACACCTTTTAGTTGTTCGTAGAAACCTTTATATTCAAATATCTAAAATGCAATGAGACATTAATGATTGACGAGAGTATCCTTATAAAAACGCTAAAATTCTGATAATGAAACATATATCGAATGTTATTTTTTGCCGATGATCGGTAGTTCTCTCTATATACGCAAGCTTTCAAAATCTTAAAAATATTGGTTGCATTGCTACTGTTTATTCCATTTAGAATGTTCGTTAAATGTAAAAAACGAAACACAAATGCAAACAAAGTAAATCATTGAAATATGTGTCAGATTAAGGTAACATCATAATAGGTTCATTTCTACGCATGGTAATGTACCGACTATGTTATACTCCCAATCGCTATATTTTGATTGCGTTTGAGATGCAGACTTAGGTAATTCGAAAATCAATAACCTAATGTCACATCTTTGTACAGACATTTGTTAATATCACATATCTGAAATTAATGAATGACAGTCCTGAGGTTCAATAGTTACAGTTGTTGAAGGGAATTTTACAATAACAAATGTAGTTTTGCTAGTGACGCAGTCCCCGACAAATCTATAATGTACGGCAGCTCCTTTACAACTATATTATAATTATTCCTTATTAAATGCATTACACAAAGAGCAAAATCGTTGTTTCATTTTGGACAAACTTGTATCAATCAATAAACATTTGTGAATATCACCAAGTAAATATGGCGGCTTACTACATTATTCCGACAGTCAATTATAGCTGTGACAGTGAAACAGGGTGTATATACAAAATGCATTTAGGGGTATCGTTTGTCTAGGCTACGAGAGATAATCCAAATTGAATCATGACGTTTAAATGTATTGTCTATTACAGACTCCTGATACGTCCGACACTTACTGTTAGTTTAAGTCATGTTTAAATGATGTCGCATTCATGAACTTATTCATGCAGTTTTTTTCTTATATCAGTTTATAGGACTTTGAATCAATGACATTAGCAGTGTGACCTACACTCAACATTTCAGTTAATGGTATACATTTCATTTTATATGTTTTATTAGATTCATATCAATGCAAAGGATTTGAATAGTCGTGATAAAGGTATGTGAACAACTAATTTCTTTTCATTCATCATATTACTGGATTATTTCCGAATTTTAAAAGCATACAATTACCTAATCGTATACTACACCCCTTTTTAAAATTTTTAAACATGTCAAGTGTTTTTCCTTTGAACAATTGTCAGTTAATAAGGACTTCCAAGTCTCCTCAGGGATCAATGCCACAAAGCCACTTCCATTAAACGTATGATCCGTTGCACTAGAAATTAATAGTTTTTAAAAGACACACCAATGGGCATTAATGAGGTCAATATCTAACGAACACATTATTTTGTTTTTTCAATGTTAATAGATAAAAGATACATCATGAATTATTTAGAGCGTTGTATTACGTTCATAAATGGCGGTCATGTTAATTATCATAGGAAAAAAAGCAGTGGTTTTATTAAACGCATGGTGTTGAATTTTGGTGGAAAATAATAACTACTACATCGAGTTCAAATGGAAATCACATATGATTTAATTGTGTGGACACGTACATGAACAATAAAAAGTTTTCTCACGAAAAGGATATTTTCAAAACAAGTGTGAAATTGACAAACGATGAACAATTCGGGGAGTTTTCAATTTAAAATTGTTGCCACATGCATCAAGAAATCTTTCCATGAACAATAAGAGCTGTTTTTTTTATCAATTTGAAAACGTTTGTTTATAACAAATCGACATACATAACTCTACAAACATAACAGTTTTCATTTGCGCTTGGTCTTAGATACATTTGAGAACCCCTCGTAAACACCTTATTGAATGAATCTTAAATCTTATTGCAATGCAAATTACTCTACTTATTGATAATGTGTTGATCTCGTAAATACAAATTTGTTTAATAATCAATGTGGCCATAAAACGAAAAAAAAAAATCGTACAAAACTTATATTTCAATTTTCGTACTTATATATTCATTAATTAAGATGACATTTGACTTTTACAATACCAATACGTAGAGAAACAGTCGTTGACTGCTATCGGTTACGGTACTTGGTCTGACAAATTTTTATATAAATCTACAATGCGTCCACACGGGGAAACATGAATTGAAAAAGTGTGCAAAATTGAAAACAATGTGTGAATCGGACGAAAAATTCAAAGTAAAATCATCACATAATGTTTCTCTGTTTCATTTCTATTGTTGTACTATATGTATGAAAGAAACAAAAATATAGTTTAAATAAAAAAATAATGAAGATCTTTACGATTTGTACATTTATCATTGTTTATGGCAAAACCTGTTTTTATATAAAAAAAAATCACCAAGGCAATAGAATTTAAAGTAACATAAATATCAGTAATTTATAGAACATTCGAATATTATAAAAAGTAGAAAGATATTATTTACAGATGAATTATTTGCAAATTATTGTCCGTTTAAGACACAAACATCGGACACTAGAAACCACTTCAGAATTAAAGCTTTTTTTTTCGTCTTTTAAAAATAATTCATTTCTACTTAAAACAAACGCTAATTTACCCTTTTATAAGGAGTGGCTATATCTAATGGTATGTATAGTTCACTTTAAAGTAATTGTTTTAAGACAAATTTTACAAAGACGGAAATATGTCGTGTCCCGAAATATGTTGATCAGTATCGTAAGTGTATTCAAATATGGTATACCACGGAGTGAAAAGTAAAAACTTCCTGTTAAAATGAAGTGCACAGGATATCTCCTTTCAACCTATTTATTCAAATAAAACAAATAGATAATGCAAACCGAACAAAGTCATATAGCAATGTATTCAACAGAAAATATAATGACTGATATTGTTAAAACATTTTTAACATTGTTTAATTGTATCAAAACTATTTCAAGTTATAGCCTTTACACAGAAGAATTTTTATTATTTTGTCCATTTATTTGAAACAAATATTGCGTATGTCATAAACTGGGCATCAATGAAATGCTCATAAAATACAGTTTCAAGTCCACATATAATTCAACTGCACTTTAAATACAATATAAAATACAATAATACAATATAACAAGCGGTTTTTGAGATCAAAAGTGTCGTAATTTCAAATGAATTTATATTCCTGCCTTTCTACGCACGCCATATTAGTGAATTAAAAGTCTGTATTATTGGTACGAATGATGCAGATGCGAATTGTCCAAACATAAAACTCTTCCAAAAATACAATGTATAATACATATATTCAAAAATAAACAATACGAACTACATTTATATCCGTTTTTAAATTCGCATATTCCAAAGGTTCTTCAAAATGTTAAGAGAAAATCTTACTGACCATAACGCGTCAGAAAAGATAAATCTGAAGACTAATCAGCATGTTTCGTTAACTCTTATGTTAGCATTTATTTTCTCAAACTTGTTTGATAGATTAAATAATATTAAGAACGTGATGCTCTAAGTACATCAGACAAATGTTAAGTTTATTTCGCTATTTATTTTAGATCTCTGTTGGTCACACAGCTTCGCCAATATTCAAGTATTGACGCATATTTGGTTATCTTTATGTTAGTAATCTATATACTCACGTACTGTAAATATAGAAATTTAGGCTTGCCTAATATGTTGAATGTTGAAAAAATGCAAAATCTAATTAAACCTATTTAACAAAAAGAGTAAAATCAGTATTGAAATGACAAATACGACAAACATCATTCAAACCTGTTACAACTTTATTTCGCAATAATAAAACCATCAAATATTTTTGAACGTACATGATTCAATTATTTACACATGGCGTTTTATCTATTGGTCATATAGCTTCTCCTACATTCATAGAATTGCACATCCTTGGTTTTCTTATTTTCGGTCATCAAATTTTTCAAGTATTCAAAAACTTAGACATCAATGATTTGATCGTTTGGTCATATAGCCTTTCAAGTATCTAAGTATTTTAACATTGTCAGTTTTCACTTATTTGTCATGTTATTTCTCCAGATTTTAAATATTTACATGTCCTAGGTATTTGCCATTTTAAAAATATGGCTTCTCAAGTATTCGAGTAATGCAACAATTCTTAAT